GCTTCCGATTCCGACCAGACTCCCGGGACTGCTCGGAGAACGCCCGGGGCTGGGGGCGGCGATTACAGGTGCAAGTTTGCAAACCTGGAGACCCGGCGCTAATGGAGAGAGCCAGAGCAGCTTGCGCGAGGGTGAACTTTGATAGGTGTCTATCAAATCTTATCAAATCTGTATAAACCTATCTATACACATCTATTTGGCAAGCAGAGTGAAACGCTTCTCTTTCCCAGACTTGTCAACCTAAAGGTCGTCCCTCCGCGTCCCACCAAAGGTTTAGCACCCCCACCCCGCCTGCGTCCCCCAGCCTCTACAGATGGAATTGAACGTTCACAGGAGCCCGGGTACCCGTGCGGGGTGCTATACTCTGCTTCAAACGCCAAGTCGGAAACGCCTGTCGCTGGCCACATCCTCCCACCGCCCCTCACTTTAGACCCGAAATGGTCAACTCTTCACCGAGGGGGCGTCCCATTGCTGCCTGGCTCGACCCGGCCCCTGGCCCAGCTCAATCGCTTTACCCAGAAAAACCTGTGCCTATGCTTAGTCCTACCCGCCCGACTGGGAATCGAAGCCGACACCCCCCCACCACCACGCGGCGGGAGCACGTTCTTACACCTGTTCAGCCGCTTAATTACAGGAGCACCTGTCGCGTTGATAGGGGGGTGGGGTGTATTTTTCATTGCAAAAGCTTCCGTTTTAACCCTTCCCCTAAACTTCATTTTAAAAATCACCTGCCATACCTACCTGAAATCGCTAGAGCTAAGAAAAAGAACTGAGCAGTGGGCGACTGAGTCGCCGCAAGAACGTGACCGAGGTTACTGCTTCAAGGGCATGATGCGGGTTTGATGCAGCAAGGTCCGCTAAGGGCACCCTGAACTCCCCGCCCCCACGCGACGGGCGGGGCAAGGGGGTGGTAAGGCGGAGGAGAGAACTCCTCTAACCCAGGACAGGGGTGGGGGGAGGCAAATATGCCCTCTTGGCTGGGTGAAGTCAGGTCAGGCATACTAAAGCAGGGGCCTTAGCCTGGTTTAAAATGAAAACAGGCCCTCCCTTAATTTGGGGAACCCAGATTGCGGAGACAGGAAAGAGCTAATTGATTCTGTATCAGCATTTCTGTTGTCACCCCAAATCCGATTTGCAATTAAATGACCTTAATTGACTTTGTTCAGGTTCCTGGGGAAACCGCTAGAATCGCCTGTGCCTCTTTGACCTCTCTCTAAACAGTTAATTATAATATTCCCATCCCTGGCAGGAGGATTGCTAAGAATGCCAGTCTCCCAACCCTAGGCGAAAATTGGCCTACCGAGTTGCCAACCCATGCCTAAACTCTTGGAATGCCCTACGCCCTACTTCCTGAAACTGACTTCTTTGAAATTAAGGGAGACCATTCACAACCCTGGTTCCCCAAGTCTTCCAAACCACTTTTGCCAGCAAATACTGTGCTTTCCTGAAGAACTCCAGAACAGGCCATCTTTATAAAGTGAGATGCCCAGACACCTGGTTAAAAAGAAGGCAGGTAAAACCAGGAATGCCTGGTATAAGACAGCAATAACTAAGGGAGATAGTTCAAACCAAAAAATGAGTAATCCCATAAAAGGTGACTTTGAACCCCTCAACCTTTTCTGTTATGTTGCGGTTCTGACAAATCTCTCAGATGCCCCATTTAAAAGGCCATTTTACCAGGAAGCTTTCAGGGCTCAACCAAATTTCCTATTCTTTCATAGCCCAAAACCATGCGTACCTTTTACTTGAACTTTAGGAACTGATTTTAATTTGGGAATAAATTTCTTCAGTTAATACTGTCGCGCGCGCGCACACACACACACACACACACACACACACACACACACACGGTATACCCAGCATTTTATAGATAGATTATAGTTTGGGGGGTATCCAGGGGAGGTGGGTCCTCCCACTCCCCACCCTCTTTCCAGAACAGGATGGATATGAGAAAGAAGTGTGCAGAAAGGCTGAAGGTTCAGAACCCCTGGCCAAGGAGAGGCTTGTACGTGAGTGGAGGGACAGCATCTGTGCATTTCAGGGAGAAAGTAGTAAGAGAGGCGACCATTCCCGCCCAGCAGTGTTAAGAATGAATACTAAACGGCAGACTATTTCGCCCACCCTTGCCACAATAAAGCCAGATCTGCAGCTGGTAATTATGAGAGGAAATACCCTGACTTGACCTCAGCTTCGCTAACCTGCACTTGAAAATGGAAAGCGGGGAACGTCTCCAATCTCCAATTTGCCACAGTTGTGTAGCTCGTATTAATTCTTTACAGACGTAAAATAGGTGGGTACGTAGCAACGTGCTGGGCATAAATTAAACAACAATGGCCACGCGAGGTCCAGTCGGCCTCTAAACTCCCGTGGTGGGCACTGCCACCTTGTCATCCCCCAGTCCTCCCCACCCCGAGATTAGCTAAGCAAGTCCGGAGGTGGCTGGCGACACGCTGGCTTTTCTAACTCGGAGAGTGGGTGGGGTGGAGAGCAGAGAGATCTAAAACCACCCAGCCAGCTTTGTACCCTGTTGGGTCCTTTGCCTCTCCTGCACGACTCGGGCGTTCTCGGGCACACACTCACCGACACCCCCTCGTGCCAATCATTTAAACTTCTTTCAGGCAAAGCCAGCAGCACTTCGGTCCATAGCCTCCACCGGCAGTTTCTCCGCCCTCCCCGCCCGGCGCACACCCTCTCCAGTCCCCGCTTCTACCCTGGATTCTCTTTTCCCGCAGCTGAAAGCAAGCTGGTTTCTCCTAAACCCTGAGAAATCACAAAAGTTCAAATGAAGCATGTGTCTGCCGGGTGTCTGGTCCCCAACCATCAGTTTAACAATAGCTATCGAAGGAAGGGGGGTGGTAGAGAGGGCCGGGGGGGGGGGGCTACGTAGCCGAGTGGGCTCCTAAGGTGGCTGCGAAGCCTCGCCACTGTGAAAGGGGTTCCCCCTAGCCCCAAAGACGAAGTCAGCGCCTAGGACCAAGGACAGGGCTTGGAAGGCACTTCCCGGCGCCCAGCATCGCGAGGCGTTCCAGTCAGCCGCCGCTTCCCAGACACAGCCCTGAGGATCTTATTTACGCTCTCTGAACAAAGGGAATCTCATATCCGGCACCGGCTAAGGAATCGGCCCCAAAATAGCTATCTTTTCTTTTTTTTAAGACAGAATTACGATCCCTAGTGTCCATGAATTAGAACCCGCATACAAGTGATGAGTTTTGACAGCTTCTAACCACCCCAGCCCAGCCCCAGACTTCAAGTCGTGTATACTTTCTCAGTCAACTACAACTCGCTGCCTGATGCAGCATCCAAATCCCATCTGGCAATCTCATCTTCCCAGCACATGCGATCTGGTTAATGCAATTAAGCCTGGGGTTTTAGCTGGTCTAATCTGCAAATCCAGACTCCCGATTTCCTTTCATGCTTCCATAAAAGCTCTCCGGTCCTTCGCTTGCCTTGGGAAAGTAGAGGCATGCATCATCCCCCCCAACACCCAAGTTACCCCTCTCTTCCCACGAAAGGAACTTCCAACCTCAATCCGGAGGTTCGCTCAAGATCTACCCTCCCATTGTAGCCCTGCGCTACACTGGCCACATTTACCGCTTGAGGTTCTGCCATTGACATTTGAGAATATACTCAGTACGTTAAGCATGCGTCCAACGTATTTTAGTCTACTTCTCTAGAATTCAAAGCCAGTGGCTTTGAAACGAGACAAACATGTGCAATTAACTTCATATTCTGTATTCCGCTCACTTACAGGTTTTCTGGGTTTGCCAGCGACTAATGATTAAAGAAACCAAACCGAAACTTACCTTTCTCCCTTAAGGTTTTTGTGTATGTGTGTTTTTAAAGTAACGGTGCAGTTCTCCCAATAAGGATGAGCAAGAAGCTGCTGGATAGTTCTCTTAAGACAGCACGAAACCTAAACTGTGCTCGGCTTAAAAGAAGCAAATAAAAAGAAATGCTTTCGACCCCAAAGTCCAACACTGAAAGAAAGGGCGAGGGGAAAAAAAATTTTGAAAGGGGAGGGGAAACTTAAAAAAGAGTTTAAAAAGACGGAGAGACTACCCTCCTACTGCTGTTCAACTAAACAAAAAGGGGCAAGAAAAACAAACGGAGGAACAAAGAAAAGAGACGAAAGAACGTTTTTTTCAAAAAGACGATGTCTTTCTCCTTGTTGCTTTTTAGTAGGTCGGTACAGGAGTAAGCTGCTGCATCTCTATGTGGGAACAGAAATAAGGGGGGAGGACGTCTTAAAAGGGAGGTGGACTGGACCACAGATTTATAGCACCGTATCACCAACCCCTTCTCTGCCTCCGCACTGCCGTGTGTGCAGCTGCTCTGCCAGGCTCCTATCCCGGGCAGCACGCGCGGAAGTATACGCCGACAGCGCCACAACGTAACTTGCTGATCTGCCTAGGATCCTGATTGGTCTAGATGCCTCTATTGGGGCCGCCCAGGCGAGGCCGTGTGGTTCCATTGGCGAGGAGCTCCTGTCACTCTCGAGAGCTCAATGGAGTCCCATTTCAAGGTAAGTTGTGCGGGGAGGTACATACTCAACACTGGCGGCGAAGGGAAATGCAGGCAGCAAAGAGACGAGGAGAGAGCAACGTGGGAGGGTTGAAACTGTACTATCAGAGTTTGCGATATGGCACGCTTTTCTTTCCTCTTAAATCTTTCTGCTTCCGAAAGATCCATTTCCTTTGCCATCCCTACCGCATCTCTGGCATGTTTTTTATAACATTAAACTCTGTCCGGTATGTATGAGTCACTGAGAGCTCTCTCTTTGATCTGAGTGAAAGGGATAAATGTACATCCATTACTTGCCCGCATGCTTCCCCCACCCCATGTGTTCCAGTATATGATATTAGGTACTAGTATCAACTTTATGTCTTTTTCTGTGTTGATATATGCATATTTAAGAACCCTTGTTTTTGTTTTCTTTTTCTTTTTTCTTAAATCATCCTTTTAGGACCAGAATGAAGTCAGAAATGCTTTGAAATAACACCGATTGAATTACCTTGCAGTTCATATGAGGATGGAAAATGTTGGCTAATCACTGTGTCCAGCAAAAAGGAGTACTGAGTCAAGTCTTTGACTTAGAGGCATGACTCTCAGAAAGAGCAACTGTATGTAGAATTAGAACAAGTCAACACCTCTGCATTTGCTGGCAGTACAGTTTTTGGACCACACATGTACTGCTGACAGTAGAGGTAGTTGAACCTGTATCATCAGGGCTCTTTCTCTGAAGATTTGTCAAGTTTAACCATTCAATTTAAATGCTGGCAATGCGTTTACTTTATAGATGAAGCCTACTTTATTCCATCTCCATATTTCAATAATATTCAGGAGGCTAGATTAGTGGCATAGCTTTATTCATGGCATTACTTTCGGTTACAGTGTGATTCTCAGGACTGATTTGATGTATAAGTAGAGAGAGTATTCACTTGACCTGTGTTCTCTTCCAGCCTGATTTTCTTCTTTCAAATGAAAGAAAGAAAATGTTCTTCTTTCAATTGAAAGATAATGCCAACTTCCTGGAGAGTATTTGCATTTTTAACAGAAATGATATAAATAAAATGCTAGAGGCACATGCCTTTATGAAAGGAATTCCATTGCCTGTTTATTTTTATACTAGTCACTGTCTTTGAGAATTCCAGAAAGGGGCACAGATAAGAATCAGAGGTTGTGGGAGGATGGGACCAAACGAAGGAGAAAGAGGCAGATGGTCCCAGAGCAAACCAACTTGAAAGTGAGTAGTAAAGTAAAATCAGTGTTCCTTGAGAATGTCCTTGTGTTAGCAGTGATGAATGATTAATGACAAAGAACAGAAGATTTGTTTATTTTTTCTGTATAATCTGTGTAACAATGTCTGAGCTCTTTCATCCTTTGCAAGACATTAGTGGGGGTAGGGAGACCAGGAAAGAAGGCCTAAGTTTGTGTTATCGCATAATTAGCATTTATAATAATCAGGCCCTAACCCAGACTCCACACTTTGCTATAACCATACCCGCTGAGAGCCCAATTTAACTGAAGACTCTTCTCTCGGCCTGCATGGAATCCTTGACAAGCAAAAGAAGTTTGGAGAAATGGAAAAAGCAAGGGAGGGAAGGACAAACCAAGGGAAAGACCTCACCTCACCTAGAAGAGCTTAATCTCTGCATGAATGAACAGTTGGAAGAAAGGGATCCTTGGCCTTCTTCTGGACACCCTCCAGCCCAGCTCAGGATAGAGATATAAATCTTACAATAATTAATGCAGGTATAATATTTTTCACTTAATCAAATGAATTTATTAGGGAACTGTCTTTTCTCTTGGTTAATGTGCTCTTATTATATTATTAGTTACTGGGATTTCATGTAACATTCTCAGTACTTGAAAGGTAGTCATTACTGTTCACTTATTATATAAGTGCCTTCTGAGTAGAAACTAAATACTTTTTAAATTTATTTGTTGGTGCAGATTTTTAAATTGCAGTGCTATATTTCCACCAAAAAAGAGGATTTGCGGGATGTATGAAAAGCTATAGCCAATATGGGGCAATGAATATCTAGCATCTGTGTTGTATACTTAGAAGTTCTGTAAAAAAAAATAGTAAGGGTGTGCATTCAAATATCTTTGCTATTTCTGTAGGTTCCTTATATATTCAGTTTGGGGAAAGGATCGAATATTTCTCAAAATACTCTCACCTTCAACATGTTGTCTCCTCTAGGTAGGTAAAATGGAATGAAATTATTTAAGAACTTTATGTTATTTTCAAATACTAGTTTACTTCCTTGATAAATAGTTTTAACATGTTTAAATCGATAGCTGTATCCAAAGTAGAATGTACTTTTCCAAGTTTTAAAAATAAAAATTGAATACAGTCCCTTTAAAGCAAATGATACCTAGATTTAGATTTAACTTTGAAATATATGTTGCCTTTGTCGAACCACTAATCTATATTTTCTTGTAATTAAGACATGTGCAAACATAGATTCTAAATAAAGCAAAAAAGTAATTAACTCCCTATGACTCTTGATTCACAGTTAGGTTTTTTTTAATGTATACAGTATCTTTCATTCGGAAAAACAGTAATAAGATTGTTGAGTTGTGATTTAGTCTGATATGCCCTCAGGGTCCGAGGTTTTCTGAACTGCAGTAGAGGGGAGAGTTTAGAGACTGGAGAAGTTCCAGAGATTTTTAGAAAGTTTGATGCACATAAAGCTGCAGAAAGAATGGGTTCTGAAGCCAGAAACTAATTAATTGTTGAATTGTTGAATTCAACATTTCTTTATAAAAGTATAATCATTCACAAGAATACTCATAAAGTACTGTGAACAATGGCTTTCAGGATAAATAACTCCCTTACACTAGTCCTGTGTGTGTGTGTATGGGGGAGAGGAGGTGTATGATAAAGGGTGAAAGAGCAGTAAATAACACAATTAATCTAAGTAAATGACTTTTCAGTTTGGGGTTTTGAACAGCAGCTCCAGACCTTGTGCCCTCTCAGATGAATGAAAACACTGTACTATGTTAGTGTGTGAGGGGTTTGTGGTCATCATGTTGGAAATGTGATAGTGTTATTACTCGCCTGCAGGAGGAATATGTATTATAAAACTATAGAACGTGATGATTGCGTTCTTTTTATTCTCCTTAAAGTGGTATGTCAACTTTCCTTCCACAGTTTAAAAAACAGTAAGAAAAGGGGGAAAAAAGTGTGGGTAAAGGACACCAGCATGAGTTTAGCCCATTCCATCCTGGCCAGGGGAATAAAGCAGGAGGTAGCACCATGGACAGAGACTAGCCAACCCTCCTCTTAAGTTTGCAAAGTCTGATCAGCGACGCCGGTCGCTTCCGGGTGTGAAACGTGGAGATTGATGTTGCTTGGGAATTTTTATTCCACAAGCTCCAAAGAAGAGGCTGTCCTTACTCAAAGAAATATTTATGGTGTTTTAAATTGCCTGGCTTTTCTTAGGAACTGGCCGGCCGTAGTGACACAGTGCTGGGAGGCCTTGAGCCGCGAACTCGCTGAGCTTCCTCCCACTGTCCTATTTTTTCTTGCCCCGTGAGCCGCCTTTTCATCAGAGCAGTCATTCAAAATAAAAGTTAATCTATGTAACTTCCAAAAAGTCTGCTAGACTTCCAGAATTTTATATCTTCTGAATATCCAGTGGGAAGCTCAGGAATAAATAATAACCCGCCTACCCCAATTCCCTAGATCCCCTCCCCCAATTCTTTGGCCAAAGGATGGGAATGCAAGCCTTTTCTCCTAAAGTGACTTGGGGGTCCACTTTTCAAAGAACCCTTAAGATGACAAACACTTTCCTTTAGGGACTGTGCCAGGGGCAGCGATGAACAGGATCGCATCGCAAACATCCTTTGCTGGCTTGTCATAATTTGTCTGGAAACTCTTATCCCAGGGGAAAGAATGGGGAGAGAGCTCAGACTCCGCGAGATTTTCCCCTAAATCAGTAGCTTGATGTTCCCCCTTAAAGACACGTGGGCCGTTTAAGTATAAAACATAAAGGTAACGCAATCCTGTTGTCAATTCTTGGGAACCACCCTGGAATTACTCTTCTCCTCTCGTTTCTTCCGTGCAAAATCCACAGAAGGTTCATTCCCTCCTCGATGATTTGCCTGCAGAAATTCAGACTGAGATCTGTTGCGCGTGCCCCAGAGTGTCTTGGAAAATATATTTGCAACTTTGGATCGTCCATCATTGATGGAAACAACTCCCACAAATGTCCGCAGACTCCTTGTCCTCTGCTCTTTTACTTAGGAGGACCAACTCGCGTCTTTTCTAGAGTTAGGAAAGGGGGAGCTGGGACGTGCAGCACGGAGTCAGAGAAGAAAACCTGCAGGTGAGCGAGGGCAAGACGGAGTCTGGAATCCGTTTCACTCCAAGACGCCGGGAGCCTTCTCTCTACGCTTGCTTCCTCCTGGAGCCGGTGCATCTCATGCAAAATTAATACAAGTAATTAAAAATAGCAGTTTCCAAAGTTAAAGGAAGCCATCTGCCTCAGCTGGTGGTAATCCGTCTCTTCCCTGGGACCTAAAAACAAACGGTTTTTCTGCTCCCGATGCTCCGAGGCTTTTTCTTATATTGAAGATGTATGTTTCCACTTGTGTGCCACACACGTCTAATTTGAAATCATACAGCCGGGTCTGAGCAACCAGTCACTCCCGGGCTATCGCAGGGTCGGCTGGCTGCCCTGCCCCCACCCCTTTGGTCCCTTTCTACCGCCCCTTCCCCTCCTCCCCTTCTCACGCTTCAAGTCTTCCCCCCTCCTTCCTCCTCCCCTCCTTACACGCTCCACACCCTCA